CAGCCAGTGTCCTTTGCTTGCTCATGGTAACACAGTTTTCCACTCCTTGCAGACCTGGGTTTAAGCAAGGCCTTGCAAAACCCTTGGAGCTTTAGGAGTCGACAGAAGCCCAGTGACAGCTGCTGGTCTTTAGGTTCCCTCCAGGATTTTGCTAGAAAGTCCACTTTCTATCTGTTGGACTGCCTATGATTTTGAACAGTAATTCATGTGATGGATATTTATGATTCATCTGTATCTGTGCCAGGCACTGAAGTCATTCATTGTCCTGATTTTATGAAACTTTCTGTCTACCTGGGATGGTTGACACTGAGCATGCAAGTACGTAGTTTTTTAGTTCAGTGGTCATGTTACTGAGGAGAGGGTGTTAGAATGGGGTTCCCAACCTAGTATAGAAGTTCAAAGGAAACGTAGTTGAAGAAATATTTAGGCATGAGTCGAATTAACCAGGTGAAGTGGGAGGGAGTAGGGGTTGTGAAAAATGTAGGGACCAGAGCAGATGCCCTGTGAGACAGCAGGGAAAGGAGCCTCCCAGGTGTTAATGGGGTGATAGGGACTGTCCTGAGGGGAGGCGGTGGCAGAATGGACTTATCATGTAGAGCTTCCTAAACCAGATTGAGCTTTTTGGATTTTATCCCAAGACTTCTGGGAAGTGACATCATCAGATTTGAATTAAAATTTTGCATTTTTAAAGAAGTTTGCTTGATCACTTCAAATTTCAAAATACTTTTAATTTCTGGAAATAAAAATCTAGATGTCTATATGTGTATTTTTTAAAGAATATATTTTATTGATTTTTTACAGAGAGGAAGGGAGAGGGATAGGGAGTTAGAAACATCGATGAGAGAGAAGCATTGATGAGAGAGAAACATCAATCAGCTGCCTCCTGCACACCCCCTCCTGGGGATGTGCCCGCAACCAAGGTACATGCCCTTGACCGGAATCAAACCTGGGACCCTTCAGTCCACAGGCTGACGCTCTATCCACTGAGCCAAACCAGTTAGGGCTATATGTGTATTTTTAATAACAGCTTTATTGAGATATACTTCATATACCATAAGATCCATCCTTTTAAAAAATGCAATTATGTGCTTTTTAGTGCTGTACATTCACGATGTTGTGCAGCCATCACCACTCTCTAATGTCAGAATATTTCCATCGCTCCAAAAAGAAGCCCCCTGCCCATTAGCAGGCACTCCCCACGGCCCCTCCCCCAGCCCTTGGCACTCACAATCTATTTTCTTTTTAATCTTTGTTGTTGAAAGTATTACATTTATCCCCTTTGACTAGTTCTAGCCCACTTCAGGCTTTCACCACCCTATTGTATGTCCATGGGTTATGCATATATGCATACAAGTTCTTAGGTTTATCCCTTTCCCCCATGCCCCTACCCCCGCCTTCCCTCTGAGATTCAACAGCCTGTTCCATACTTCTATGTCTCTGGATCTATTTTATTCATGAGTTTATTTTGTTCATTAGATTCCACATATGAGTGAGATCATGTGATACAATCTACTTTCTGTCTTGGGATTTGCCTATTCCTGATAATTCCAGTATATGAAATCATATAACTTTTGTGACTGGATTATTGTGACTGGATTATTTTACTTAGCTTAATGTTTTCGAAGTTCATCCATGTTGTATGAATTGGTATTTCCTTTCTTGTTATGGTTGAATTATATATCTATAATAATAAAAGGCTAATATGTAAATGGTCATCATGCCCTCATGCTGTAACGACCGATCAGCAGGAGGTGCTGGAGCACCTCTCGGGCCCTCCCCCTGGCCCCTGAGCAGCGGCTCTTGAGGCACAGATGGGAGGCGGGGTGCCTCCTCGTGAGGCTGGTGCGGATGGGCAGTTGGGGGTGACCAGGCCAGCAGGGGAGGGCAGTTGGGGCAACCAGGCCTGCAGGGGAGGGCAGTTGGGGGCGACCAGGCTGGCAGGGAGAGGCGGTTAGGGGTGATCAAGCAGGCAGGGGAGCTGTTAGGGGCATCAGGCAGGCAGGCAGGTGAGTGTTTAGGAGCTAGCGGTCCTGGATTGAGAGAGGGATGTCTGTGGGATCAAGCCTAAACTGGCAATCGGACATCCCCCGAGGGGTCCTGGATTGGAGAGGGTGCAGACCGGGCTGAGGGACCCCCCTCCAGGCCTCTAGTGTGTGTGTATGTATATATATATATATATATATATATATATATATATATATGTTCCTTGGATGAATCACAACTTGTCAAACAGGTAATTGGTGAGCGTGAGAAT